TGCGTGGACCTCTGGGGGTGTAAACTTGTTGGTTCCGATGGTCTTAGCACCCTTTCCTTTAACTTTAACGTCTTTCGTATGTCTAGCCTTGACTGAGCGGCTCCGTACTTTCCCACCCAGTGGCCCACACGCCTTGGTAGCCTTTCCTCCCAGTCTACGTCCTGATCTTGCCTGACCGTACGACACTCCTCACATGCTTTGCTCAGGCGTCCCTTATAGGCTCCCATAGACAACTTTAATTGACTTAGAGCTGGGACAGCTGGTACTACATCTTTACCTACCATAGTTGCGGTTTAGTTAAGATCACGGTACTAATTTGTACTTCAATTAGCCCACCCCACAGCACGAACGGTATTAGGTGAGAATGAACGAGTCTCAAGGCTTCTCAACAAGACTTAACAATTCCCTTTATTATATTGACTCTACTCTGAATAAAAAATGTACACTGTTAGCTCTCAAATCCCAATCAAAATGTGTATCGGTGTGAAAGCTTAACCTAGCAATTTCCTGTACAATGTCAGCAAATAATTACAGGACTTAACCTAGTCTCAGGTACAATTCACAAATCCCACATTAAAATGAATCAAAGACAATGAAAATCACACAATAAAAAGTGCAGTATACAAATTAAAATCACTTGGTTAACACAAATAAATTCAACAAATCAACTTGTGAAACAGTAAATAAATAATGTGTGTAAACAGCTTGGCCTAGCTTACTCTGTCTAGCGTGGATGGTTGGATGAGGTAAATCCTAACCTAACTAGTGTACTATAGCTTAATTTAACCTGGCTTTAGAAATCCCTGTAAATAATAACTAGGTTAAATCTGTCCTAGCTACTATAACTGTTGTAAATATTGCACAAGCCTAGCCTAACTGTGGCTACCTTGCAAATCCATTGTAAGTAATTAACACACAAGTCTCCTACTCTGGATTACTTGTAATCACTGTAAATAATTAAATTCACAAGCTTCTCTAGTCTACCTGGCCTGCCTGTAAATTACTGCAAATAATGACCCCTGTGTATAGTCAGCTTGGCCTAGCCTCTGTGTAACTCTGGGCCTAGGAGTGCTAACTTAACCTAACTCTGTTAAACTGGTTCCTAACTGTGGCCTAGCTATGATAGCTTAACCTAGCTATTCCACATCCGGTTCGTAGGACCACTTTTTGTGAAAATTTCTGTGGACTGCCTCCAAGTGATTCGCCTACCCTGGCAAACTCTGTTGACACCGAGCTCTGAGGTGGGTACCTCAGCCTCACAAGTGGCTTATAGGACAGATTTTCACAAATGATTGATGTTGCAAGAAACTCGCCTGCATGCACATATAAAGGACTAACTTACTTGGTGTTGCAGCATATATCCTGTTCTTCAACTTCCCTAAGCTTAGCCTTAGCCCCTTTAGACTTCCCCTCAGAAACCACATGCAACCGGGAGCCTTAATTCCTGCAATATTCAATCGTTATTAGTGACCTGCCTGCACCTCAGAAATTCCTATATCCAAGAGGGTGTGTGTCCCCTAGTATAACTATGCAGACATGGACACTAGCTTCCAGACTGACGAGAGACACTGGTACTTACTGGGCATGCACTGCCAGCTGCAACACAGGCCTACAGATCAATTCACTCACCATCTCCCCAGACACTGGCCAGAAATCTACGAGATAAAGTGGAGGTCTTGTGTTACTGTATGGGCCTGACGGAGGTCATCTATGGTACATCGAGTTGCCTCTACCAGATTTCCCCAGGTCTCGAATGTGAAGACACGTGGGGGGCGCTGTCTGCTGATCACGGCACATCTTGTCCAGTTGGTGTCTGTCTTAAGAAGGACAAGCTGGTCTCTCTTCCAGACCCTCGTCTCTTCATTCAAACTAGGGCTGCCAGTTCTCCCTAGCTAACTTATCCTAGTGTTTGCCTACATTATCGGCCTATTACTACCTATGTTAAGGTCTTAGGTCTACATTATTATTATCTACAATTGCCTTAGTAAACCTAATATTAGTGTACTAACAGTAAAACTACCTACTCCTTCCCTGAAGGGTAAATCTATAAATTAAATAAATGCCTACCATCAATCCACTCGGGGAGAGAAATGTGTTTGTTTGGGAGGGTTTAAGGGCCACCCAGCTCAGCCATTCCATTACGGCCATGCCGGATCTGTCCTGTGGAACTTTAGGGACCAAATAAATTTCCACACCTTCTGCCTCTTTGAGGCAACGAATTTCCCGCTCATTTAAGTAGACCTGGCAATGGCGAGAGTATGAAGGGTGAGCCTCATGACAATTAAGGCAAGAGGGAGTTCAACTGCAAGACGTATGAGAATGGTCATCGGCACCACAGACTGGGCATTCGGCTATAGATCTGCAATATTTTGCTGGGTGGCCAAATCGCCAGCAATTCCTACACTGTTGCAGTGTAGGGATCACCTTCCGAACTTATAACCGATGTCCTGCTACATAAACAGAGGATGGGAGTTCATGGCTGTCAAAAGTTAAACGAGCCACATTGCAAGGGTATCGTCTTTGCCCACAGGCAGGAAGAACATAAGTGTCTACCTTGAGAATTGGGAGATCTTGGAGCTCCAGCTGTTCGAGAATGTCAGTGCCACACGTCTGGAAATTCTGTTGGACTATGGTATGGGGCAGAATAACAGTACCACTACAAGAATTGAGGGAATGATGTTTTTCGATAGTGATAGGAATAGTATCAATATGTGAAAGAAGAGAAAGAGCATGAGCTTGGGTAGAATTCTGGACTGTGATGATGCGCGTACCACTCTTAAGAGCATGAAAGGAAATATCTCTAAAAACATGGCATAGGAGTGCTTTGCCAATACTATGGTCGGAAAGATAGGCAGTAGAAGTCCATCTTAATGTAAAGAATTTACTCCATTGTGTGGTCCAAAACTGAGTGTGGAGAGGGAGTGCATGACGTGTCGGTCTTTTCCGAGTAGAATGGAAAGGTAACGAAGTAACATCTTCAGGAGATTGTCGTTGACATATAGATGTGGGACCAGAGTCAGTCCGACGTGGGATGGACCGGCGATTAGAAAATCGCCGCACCATAGAGGGAGAAGCCAGAAGCATAGTCAAAGGAGAGCGGAGGTCAGACAAATCAAAGGAGTCAGTGGAAGCCCCGGTACCTGAAGCGGGTGAGGAAACAGCATTAGCAAGAGGTACAGGGGCCTTAGGAGTGTCCAAAGAGTGGCCAAAAGGCGAGGCGAGGTCAGAACAGGGTGTGGTAACAATAAGGGGCCCGTGGGTAGCGGGGTTATGGATTTGGGACTCCATGGTTAGGTTACTTGTTTCTTTTTGTTTTTAAGAAAAAAAAAGAAAATAAAATAAAAATAAAAAAAGAATAAAAAAAGGGGGGACCGGGGAGGGATAGTTCCTAGGAGGAATGAAAGGGCTGGAAATCTCCCTCCACACCCAAGAGGACCTCAGCACTGCAAGTAGCACAGATGCAGCATGGAACCCGTGCCATACCCTACCCTTCATGCCAGTAAACCAGCAATCCGGGATAGCACCCTCACATCTGCCGAGCTACCTCGGTGGACAAAAGAGAGGGCAGCCAGATATTTGCCACAAAGCATACCTCCTTCGGCCACCACCCCCGGAATCCGAAAGGTGGCTTCCAGAGATACACCCGTCGCCCGAAAGACACCCAAAGCCACCCTCCGGGATACTGGAGAGAGATCAGGACATCCCCAGGCGATCCAGATCCCACTGCCAAGAACCTCAATAGAATGGGATGGACCCTGGTACCCTTCCCCCTACCTATGAACTAGTGTGCCTGTGGAAAAAATCCCAAAGGACAAAAAGAGGAAGGGCAAAAGGGGAGGGGTGGGGAGGAGGAGGAGGAAAGGAAAAAGGGGAGGATGGGATAGGGAAGGGGAAATTGGGGGGTAATTAGGTTCGGTCTGAGGAAGGAGACCGGCAGGTCTAATTCCTCAGACCAAGAGCCTCTTCACCACGCCAAGGAGCCCCCCTTGAAGAGGGGTAGATAATGGAAAGTTGCAGCTTACTGTATAGGGTTATAGTAGATAATTGGGGTAGATTATAGGATCATGATTAATTATTGGGGTAAATTAGTCATATTAGATTACTGGGGTAGATTATAAGGTCATGTAGATAAGGACTGTGGTAGTCAGTGTTCATACCTGGAATCGAGGTAGATTATAATTACAGTGGATTATAGGGCCATGGTAGATAACGGATTGCAGTAGAAAATAGGATGCGTGATTGTGGGAGATAATAAGGATTCCATTATGCTACGAGACAATGGAGGATTGCCGGGAGTTAAGGTAGATAACCGAGGGCTATGGTAGATAACAGATAGTGGAATGTAGTAGATATGAGATATGGTAGATATTAAAAACGGCGGCAGTTAGGAACATAGTACATGATGCCATGGTGGTGCAGCTCATGGGGGATGATCTTAATATAATCTTGCCTTGAAGAGAAAGTTGTCATAACCGATGGCTACATTACTACATTCATTTGGAAGCACTAAGCCTGTAAGTCACAGAGCCTGGGACATGGTAGGCAATCCGCTGGAGATACCAAAGGTAAGGTAGCTCCGATTCCTTGAATCAAAAACCTTGTTAGATGGATATGGGTGCCACTGTGCTGACGTTCATGACAATAACAATTATAATTATAGAAGTAACAGGACACAATTGCAACGTTTTGCTCGCCGAAGAGCTAAATGTAGTCGTATGTTTATAACTGATTTTGTGTTATTGCAGCTAACACAGTATTTTTTACCAGTATTTATACATTTATTGAAGAGATTAACAATAAACTTTTAGACGAGTAGAAGAATATGCTAAAGTATACAAATGTGCGAGGGAGTGGGTGTCTGAGGGTGACCAGCCTAGCACTGGCTAATAAACTTGTTACCGTGCATCTCTAATCCTATTATTTTCTTATACAGTTTTGTTTTGAAATGTTGTATAAGAAATATTTTGTTTTGATACATTAACATAGGTGTCTCGGTACAGGCTGCCTCCGCTGGTGATAGTAGTGACGGTGATCATTGTGTGGCAGGTGACCTGGTACGTCCTCCTGAAGAAGGGATACGGTAAGGTGAGTGCTGAATGCGATTAAGTTAAAGTGTAGCACTAGGACGGCAACTGTGGAGAGCCTTTCTGTGAGTTCCTTAATGACTGGGCACTGAAGAAGTGTGGGGCGAAGAGGGTGGGGGTGGGTCACCCTGCTGCACACTTCCAGACGAGTTATTTTAGAGTTCACCCAACATAAGATTTACGACGACACTAACACGATTGGATGAAGGGATAAAACAGGAATGTTGATTAAGTTAGTGGCGTTAGCATGTATACCTGTGTTTCTTAAGCTGTTATCTCACAGTTCTACTGATTCTAAAACCAAAGCTGTATTTATTTTAGAATTTTGGCTGCATCGTGACTTGTATTTCTATCAGCAGCCTCGGCAATAAAACGGTATTGTGATATCAACAAGCTGTGGACAGGAACATGTGAAGCTCAGGAAAGTTATTAAAGAAAAACTGTCACAAATGGCTTCTTCGATTCTAATGCAAAACTAAACATAAAAGGATATATGGTGAACAACGCAGAGCACCAGTGGCAAGAGTGAGGTGAGAGGTAAGGAGTAAAGGGTTGAAAATCACGTAATGGCCGATTCTAACATGGGTAGCAATCTATCAGCTAAAAGTCTGGAAACGCTGACGCTCCCAGACTTTTGTGGGACTGTCAGTGGTGGTGGCACCTCGCAACAGTTAGTTTAATATGTTTATTATGCACCCCATACCCATCCTGTGGGCGGTAGTCAAAAGATTACAGAGGTACATAATGGGTCCAGGGACTGGGCCTCAAAGTTTTGATAGCTGAGCAAGTTACAGAGGTAATGAATTCACAATTTACAAAGGTAATGAACTCACAATTTACAAAGGTAATGAACTCCAGGTAGGTCTAGTCACAATCATGACAAGTTACAAAGGTATTTACAGATTACAGAGGTACACAATGGGTCCAGGGACCGGGCCCCAAAGTTTTGATGACTGAACTAGGTACAAGGTAATGAACTGTACAAAGTAATGAACTCACAAGTTACAAAGGTAATGAATACTGTAAGAATGGTTACTTACGTTTATACATGGCTACAATCATGAACAAATTTTAGAGTAATGAGCAATTCACACTTCCACACCCGGTCACAACTGTAGTGAGTTATTGGTGCAAATATTGATTGTTGAGTCAGTCACACACACACACACACACTCATACACACACACACACTCATACACACACACACACACACACACACACACACACACACACACACTCATACACACACACACACACACCACATGCACATAACACACACACAAAACATACACAAACACACACACACACACACACTCATACACATACACACAAACACACACACACTCATACACATACACACAAACACACACACACAAACACACACACACACACACACAAAACACACACACCACACACACACACACACACACGTGGTAATGCTTTATTTACAGCTAGCAAAGTCAGGGTATTTCTCCAGAATAAGATAAGATAAGATTTCGTTCGGATTTTTAACCCCGGAGGGTTAGCCACCCAGGATAACCCAAGAAAGTCAGTGCGTCATCGAGGACTGTCTAACTTATTTCCATTGGGGTCCTTAATCTTGTCCCCCAGGATGCGACCCACACCAGTCGACTAACACCCAGGTACCTATTTGCTGCTAGGTGAACAGGACAACAGGTGTAAGGAAACGTGTCGAAATGTTTCCACCCGCCGGGAATCGAACCCGGGCCCTCCGTGTGTGAAGCGGGAGCTTTAGCCACCAGGCCACAAATGGTCTGTAATATACCACTGTGGATAAAATACTTAGCCATTTCTTGAACACTTCTGAGTGAGTTGTTTCTAAATTCATTAATTTTATCGCACTCCAGTACATAATGACGCAGGGTGTGACAATAGTCCATCTGGCAAAGTTTACATTTCGTTTGGTCTACATCTGGTGGTGGTGATTTAACCTGCCAAAGATACTTGTAACCCAGCCGGAGCCGGGCGGTAGTGACATCCAAGAGTCTGCTTATTTTGTTGGATGCACCGTAGACATGTGGCTCCTCCTGCATGATAGAATGATGATAGATGGACTCACTGGTGTCAATCTCCCTGAGCCTTAAGTCCATAAAATTCAGTTGAAGTTCTTTTCGTATTATTGTTCTCAAACTACTACCTGACAAGCCAAGATTGTAATCTACTCCCTCTTTGAAAGCATACAGCTTAGCCAATTTATCAGTTCTATCAATGCATCTGAAGACCAATGTGAGATGGAATCCACAGCATGTGCACTCTGACTCCACTGTCCACAATCCTACCATACCTTCTGACACAAGCATGCCACAATTTATGCTTAATGAGTTGAGAGCATTTATGGATGACAGAGAATCAGTTACAATTAAACTGTCAATCTTTGATACATAGATGCATTTCAGTGCAAGGAGTATGGCAAACAGTTCTGTCTGAAGGGTAGAGGCCCAATTATTGATGCGTGCTCCAATTTCTTTAAGAGAGCCATCGCTCTGTACGACAACAGCAGCACTACCAGCTGCACCAGTGGATTGGTGAACAGAACCATCAGCGTAAATAATTTGCGAGAGTGTGTGCTCTGTGACTAAGTTATCAATACAGCTTAAGGCCTCATGTTTGGCTTCAAGGCGAAGTTTTGGTTGTGATTTAAGTAGTAGTTTGGGGGAAATGGAGGAATGGTAGTTTGGAATGGGGTAATATTCCATAGAGCGGAGAAGTGCCGCTGTTGCCTTACTTGACATAGATCATGTATCTGATTCATGTTTTTTCGATCCATCTGGAGGAGTGTTCACCAGTGCTGAGGAAAGTTTGGAGGGCTTCTGTGCAGGGGTTTGAATGAGCTTGCCTGAGCATATTAACCCCAATTAGGATATTTCTTTCAGTAACACGATCTCTGATGCTTGGAATATCAAGTTCTTTTTGCATATTTAAAATTTTGGCAGTACGAGGGCATCCTAAAATGATCCTCATTGCTTCGTTCTGCAGTTTTTCCAGCCCTCCAAGCTTCCAGTTAGACACAAAAGCAAGTAGTGGCGCAGCATAATCAACCAATGATCTAATATAAGCAAGATACATCATTTTCACAATTTTAACATTAGCACCATACCTGGGGTGAAGCCCTGCCACAACTCTAAGTGCTCTTAGTCTTTCTTTGTATTGGCGACAAAGTCTTGTTACAACAGGTCCAAGTAGTGGAACTTCAAAGCCTAGATACCTGTATCTGCTTACATATTCAGATGATAAATCAGTCAGGTTAAGTTACAGGCTACCGCTGTAAAGTGAATCATAGCCCCGGGAGGGGGGGGGGACTTTTTTCCACTTTCAAATGCATATAAAAGCCCGAAAACATGTCTGAAGTCTGAATAAATGGAGAACGGGTATAACTGAAAACTTTTGAATTAACGAAACTCTGTAAAGCGAAGCCTGCCTGTACATGAGAACTTAATATATTTAATCGACAATATCAACTGCTTATCTTGTACACTTTTCACAAACATTTCAGTTTATTAAGGATTTTGAACCTAACGTATAGGAACGTACAAGTTAAATTCACATGAGGTGTGCATTAATATGAGATTGGATAGCATAACTTTAGTGTTAGGAAAAAAAACCATACCCCCGGCCGGGATTGAACCCGCGGTCATAGAGTCTCAAAACTCCAGCCCGTCGCGTTAGTGTTAGGATGCGTGAAAGGTTTGAATCACAAATGTAAGACTGCTGCATCGAAGTCTTAAGGCTCCTTTTAAGATAGTATTTTAATAATCCTGCAAGGTGGGACTTGTCCGGAAGCTTCAAGACGAGCTAGTAAGCTCGCATTTTACTGAAAATCATGAGTCTAATAAGATGATTTTTTTCTCGATGGAAGGTGAGGATGTTTGCAGTCTACGTACTGAAAAATACCCTCTGATAAAAATCAGAGATGACTGTGGCAAGAGCAGCATACATCTCTTTTTGTGAGTTGAAGGCAAGGCCAGAAAACTCCGAAGGATATCTGGAGTCGATTGGTTCTAGGAAGATTTGCTGAATAAATTAAATTTATTTTTAACACACCGGCCGTCCGTCTCCAGCCAAAGCAGGGTGACTCGAAAAAGATGGTACCTTGACCACCACTCACTTCACTGTCTTGCCAGAGACATGATGGCATTACTGCTCAAATGCCTCCAAACTGCAATATCCCTACCCCTCCTTCAGAGTGCTGGTACTGTACCTCCCACCTCCAGAACTCTAGTCAGGCTAACTAGTGTTCCCTGAATCCCTTGATAAATGACCTTACACGCCATAATGTCAAGCCAGAAAAATAACTTGCCTCCATTCACTTTAAGCCCCTCGCACTCAAAAACCTCCTTTAGCCCCTTCCAATCTTTCCTAGGACGATCCCTACCCCCATTCCCTCCACTATAGATTTATACACCATACAAGTCATCCTATTTTGCTCCATCCTCTCTAATGTCCAAATCCCCTCAATAACCCCTACTCGGTCTTCTGGTTAATATTCTTATTAACTACACAGCTAGCATTACTTCTAACTCACATCTTGATAGAGGTGATTGCCTAGCTGTGTAAATGGCCTGCTCTGTGGAAAGAAGCAAATGTAATCCCTGTTTGCAAAAAGAAGAGCAGAGGAGAAATCAGCAACTACAGACCAGTGTCACTCGTATCAATCACTGGCAAAATTCTTGAGTTTCACGGCAGATGTCAGAGTTTCTCTACTACCACTCGCTTTTTTGTGACTGTCAATATGGCTCCAGAAAAGGTCACTCTGCTGCTGATCTGTTGTTAAACCTCTCCACTATGTGGTACCAGTCGCTGGATGAATCCAAGTTAAGTTGTGTACTATATAACTTAACAATGCTGGTGCTTTAGACCGAGTATGACACCAGGGACTCTTTGCAAAACGGCAAGCATTAGGAGTCCCTGGCTCTGCACTATACCTCCTTAGTGGTTACCTTTAAGATAGATCTCTAAGAGTAGTTCTCAACAGGACAGAGTCAACAAGATACACTATTGGTGCAAGTGTTCCACAGGAAGTATGCTCGGGCCATTGCTATGGAATGTCTATTTCAATGACCTTTAACTCATCCCAGAACCCCATGCATGTGCAGACAGCTGTACTCAAATTTATTTATCCAAGAGAGGAAATGCCAATTGTTCTCAATTACATCAATCACCAACTTAACAGCTATATCAGTCTGAGGAAAGTGATGGCAGGTTGCATTTGCTTCTGAAAAAAATGAATATCTCCAGGTACCATGATGGTAATGCTAGAACAGTGGTAAAAATGAATCAGTGAGTTGGAACTCGGGATGAGGTTAATATCTTTGGGGTGAAATTTGATTCCAAAATGATGAAGAACCACTTGATAAATCTTGCAAACAAGGCGGCCAAGAAGCTAACTTTAATAAGGCGTATCTCGTTCCTGCTCGATAGTCGAGGTTGCAAGACTACAACACACCTTGAGTATGCTCCACTTTCTTGGATTGCCTCCCCCCCCCACCGTATCATCTACGTTTTCTCGATAGGATAGAGAACTGAGCAAGACGACTCGTCTTTCTCCTGGACAGATCTGTCCTTTCAGTAGACCCTTCAACACCAAAGGAATGTGGATAGCCTTACTGTTATGTACAAGGCCACTGTTAAGGTACCACACTTGGCTTCACTTCGCGGACAGAGAG